GAAGATGGAGCCTTTCCGGTAATTGCGTCATTGCGTGGAGGACATAATATCACAAGGGCCCTCATCTGTGTATGTTGGCAAGCATCCTTAAGGAAGAGCCCCACCTCCCTGGACAGCAGAATGGAGAAGGGTTCATTCTCTGATCACCTGCTTCTCCTACCCTTGGTTACTCTACAGAGTCTCTCTCTTCCTACCACATACAATTGTGTCCCAGAACACAAGGACCTGTGACTAAGAAGGTGTTGGTCTAAAGAGTGTCATATACCGCTGAACATCTGTGGAATGGAGACTATAGGATTTCTATCCCACCATTTTATTAACTATTAAATGAATAAAAGTCCATGCAGTCCAGGCATTATGTCAGTCCTGGCTGCTGACATAATGATTGGTCCTCCACGCTAATTTGTTGAATGAGGAAATGAACAAATGTGTGAATGGATATGTCAATCAAATCTGAGTGTCAGTACTGTGAAAAACCTGAGATCAAAACCTAGATCAGTGCCTCTGCTTTTGCTCAGTTTCCTGATCTGCAAATGAGCACAATAGAATCCACTTGACTTACTGGGTTTCTTGAGGATTAAAGTAAAAAATATATAGAACCTTTAGAAGAGTGGCTGGAATGTAGTAAGCATTCAGTAAATATTGCTGCTATTGCTGTGCATAGGAATGCAATGGGAGAACTTACCAAGGGTGGGGACCTGGCCCAAAGAGCAGCAGTCTGCAGTGTGTCCTGCATTACAATTTAGGGCTGCTCCTTCAGTCCACGCTGCCACTTTTTTTTTTTTCCCCCGCACTGCTACTTTCTGAGTACTGTGGACCTGATGCCATGCTCAAGGAGTTCCGGGGCTTGTAGGACAGACATGGGCCGGCTCCCAGGAGTCAGTGTTATGATGCAAAGACAAGAAGCCCCCACTTTGGAGAATACCTTCTCCAAGAAGCAAGCCTCAGACATTATTTGGCTGGAGTTTACAGGACAGCCTTGTCCATTATGAGGCTCCTGAGGCCCCCGGCATGCAGTTTTTCAGGTTGTGCCAGGGCTGAGAGGCAGACAGAGACTGAAATTTGGCTTTTTTTGCTGTGAGCCAACCTCTGAAGCTATACAAGAGTGTATCACCTTTCTCTGATTCACAGGCAGGTAGTGTATTGCCAGCACTGGCCTTTGAGAACCCTCTGGGGCCAGGGGTTAGCCTGAGGACAGGAGAACATGAAGCTCTAGAACAGAGGTAGCTATTTCATGAGAACAAGATCAAGGTGTGTCTTACTTATCTCTGTATCCTTAGTGCTGGGCCCAGTGTCCGATGTAGTGTCCACCCAGGCAAATACATACTGAATAAATGAACCACTGTATTCTTAGCATATGCCATAAATTCTATCCTGCAGTATAGGCTCAGTGTGTGCTACATACATTTGCAAAAGAACCTATGAATGATTTGCTAGACCTACTACCCTATGTAGTACGACTAGCTGATTTACTGAGAAGTAACTCTGTGTCAGGTATAGCATTTAGAGCTGTACATGCATTATACCCTTAAACCTCAAGATACACTTCAAGAATTGTTTGCAATTTGCAGATGAGGGCAGGCTCTGAAGCTGCATAAGGCTGAAGGACTTATGTGTGTTCAAGCTGCTCTGAAGGAGCAATACTATTAGACATCTTGTTGCTCCTGGTGTGTTTTGTGTTCACCATGCTCTTCTCTACCAGGTTTACTTGGTCACTGAGTTACCTAGTGAGCTGCCAGGAGACCCACAACTCCCTCTGTCTCTTATACTATCTCCCTTCACTCGTATAGTGCGCTTTCCTTCATTCCCTTCAGGCCTCTGCTTGCCACCTCTTTTAAGAAGGTTGCCATGGTCACCTGCTATAAAGCAAAATTTCATAATTCTTTACCTTGCTTTATTCTCCTCCATATCACTTACTATAGAAATACATGTTGATTTCCTCTCAGCCTTTCCCATATCTCCATCTCTTCCCAGAAGTTAAGCTCCATGAGCGCAAACTTCTTACCTGTCTTTTTAAATTGCTGTTTTACTAGCACCCAGAAGGGCACCTGGCATGCAGAATGACTCAACACATATTTATGAAATGGATGAGAAGGTGCTTGAATAACCCTGGGTCAGGAATTTAAATGTCTGCTTGATGTCTATTTTTTTTATTTTAAAGAGAATTTTTAAAAAATAAGATAACAACATAGACAAAAACAAAACAAAGCAAAAACAATAAAAATGATACAAGATTTCAAAACAAAATGGTAGGAATTAACAGTGATTGTTATATTACCTACTGTTATCTTCAGGGAAGTTGCTCAGGTTACCAGATGTAAGAATATAAGACTGATCAAAGGTAAACTCAAGGTTTTTATAGGTAAATGGATGCAACTAGAGATCATACTCATAAGTGAAGTAAATCTGCTTGATATCCAATATCCTCTTGCTTTTGTGAGAGCCAGTCATAAAAGTTATAGATCTGACCTTTCCCTGAACATGTGGGTAGGACAGGTTTAAGAACTCACCAAACAGAAGATACTATTCTTGCTGAACGCCATTGCACACACTTCGTGGGCACAGATCTTTTACATGTCCAGTTATAAAATCCCAGGTTATAGCCAAAGGCCTCCCCCTCTGCCTAGGCTGTAAGGCATAGCCTAATCTCAAAGCCCCTGCTTTTGCCAGTCTAAGACAACAGACTCCACTAAGACAAATGAGCCTGGGGTGTTGCTAAGACTGTTTCTGATCAAGGAAGGAGGAGAAGCCCTTCCGGCACTAACACCTGATGGCCACATAATATTGGGTGAGTCACTTCCACAAAACCTAAGTAATGAAAATGCAATCATATGGGACAGTTGGTAGAATCGAACAAGCTCATAATTTTGAAGGCACCTGGGGAACTATAAAACTTAACGCTCATATAGGGCCCTAACCTTTGGAGGTAAAAGCCAGGCTAAGGAGTTCATAACCCATTGAGTTAGAAGCCTTGGGAGGAGTTTGAAAGAGGAAGGCACTCACTAAGAAAATCTTTGTGAAGCAAATCAGTGTGTGATCAGACAGGCTAGGCCTTTGCTTCCTTTCTCTCCCTGCTACACTATGCCTGGGGTGGGGGAGGGGAGAGAGAGTCTGCAAGGTAGGGAATCCCACTTCCACGACATGCACACAGCGTGGGGGTAGCGCGGAACAGGCCTGGGTGACAGGCACCACTTGTGCCACCCTGATTAGCAGGGAAAATGCAAATCTGCACTTCCTTCCCTGCCGCAGCTAACAAGATAATGAATATTTTCATCAGCTGCAGAGAATACAAACATCTGTAGGAACACTAAACCTACTCTCAAGGGTAGGGGAGGAGGGGAGCACCAGGAGGTGCGGAAGTGTAGCTTCCCAGCAGTTTTAAGGAATAGGAGATGTGCTGAGATGCTGGAAAGGTGGCTGGGAGCTGGAAGCTCTTGCTGGAGCCTCCTGTGGATTATGAGATGGGGAATACACAACTGTCCGTTATCCTCCATGCCCACTGCCATTCATGGTTGGCACACTGTCAACTGTCCTGAGTGGACTTTATCACTCATCAGTCTATCCACCTGCACCTATTAAGTCATCAAACATTTACTGAATCCCATTGTGTGTCAGGTATGACCTAAGGTTCTAAGTGTATTCAGGTAAATAAGACATCCTTTGTCTATCCTCTCGTTTTCAGGAAGTTCATTCAGCTGGGGATATAGGTCAGTGGCATAAGCACCTGCCTGACAAGTGCGAGGTCCTGAGTTTGATTCCCAGTACCAAAAAATAAAATAAAATAAAATAAAAAGACAGATGAGAAGAAGTTCATTCATTCCTACAGTCATTTAATTACTAAAAACCAGAATGGTTTTTAGTAATTAAATTATTACTAAAATTATTAAGTACCTACCGTGTGATGGGCACTCACATTCTAATTGAGGGGACAAATAGCTGATCTGTGCTACTATTAAAAGAGGAGTTTGAAATAGAAAAGCGGAGGAGGGTTGTCCACCTAACTGTTCTGGGAGGGGTGTTCAAATAGGGCTTCAGGTGAAAACGACAGATCTCGGCTGTCTATCATGGATTAAGTGGGGTATTTTAGGTACAGAAAGTAAACAGCATGATCAAAATTGTAGAGACATGAAAAATTCAAGGGAACTCATGGTACTACAAGCAGCAGTGAAGAGATGTGTAGTGGCAGGCAAGGCCTGAAGTAGGAGCAGTTATAGAAGATCCCTGAAAGATGGGTTGGAGCCCAGTTACATGGAGCCTTGTTCACCATGCTAAAGAGTTCATTCTGGACACAATGAGGAGACACTAAAAAGTTCTGAGCAAGAGAGTAACCTGATCAGACCTGTGTTTTAGAAAATCATTCCGGTGCCTGGATATGCTGGCACCTCCCCATAGGCCCAGCACTTAGGAGGCTGATGCAGGAGGATCATGAGTTCAAGCCCCACTTGGCTTACACAATAAGGTCCTACCAGAGAGAGAGAGAGAGAGAAACAGACTGACCAGAGGAAGGAAGGAAGGAGAGAAGGAAAGATGGAAGGAAGGAAGGAAGGAAGGAAAGAAGGAAAGAAGGAAGGAAAGAAGAAGGAAAAAAAGGAAGAGAAAGGAGGAAATCACACAAGCTATGGCATGGAGAGTGAATTGCAATGGGTTGGGAATAAAGATGGCTAAGAGAGTGGTTGAGGATTCCAGTCAGGACTTTCTGGCCCTTAGACAAGACTCCAGGAGGCTCAGGGGTAAGGTCCTGGAAGGGATCTGCACATGTGGACATGTACTTTTGTCATTTAACAAGCTCTATGACTTTGCAGGGAGACTTAGCTCCCCAAGAGTCAGAGGCTACTAATAATCCCTCCTTCATGAAGTTTTATTGAAGAACAAATGAGATAATGTGTGTCAGGATGACCTACAAGGTCGAAAGCACTGTAGATATATTAGTTACCACTGATTTAATTATAGCAATAATATCGAGTCTAATCATTACTTCGTTCTGTTTTTCATTCCCATAGCTGCTATCCAGAAGCAGAAAATGGTACAGAATTGGAGCCTTGAGGTCCTGGCATTAACTGTGAGTTTGGAAAGTACCCTAATCTTTGTGCTTCAGTTTCTTCCCCTCTGAAATGTTGATAATATTCTTTTCTGGCTGTTTTGTAGGCTCCTGGTAGGGAGGAGAAATCTGAATGTCTGACATTGAAGTGCCATGAAGAACATGTCTTCAGCAACTTGAAGACGAAAGAAGATGTGAACTCAAATCCACTGAGTACTGTATTTTTCATAGCCACATGTTTTAGATTAGGAGTTGGCAAACTACTCCCTGTGGGTCAAATACTGCCCTCCACCCATTTTGTTTTATTTTGTTTTTTAGACTATGGGCTAACATTGTTGTCCTAGATTTCTAAAAGGTTATTAAAATTCAGAAGAGGAATAATATGACATGTAAAAATTATAGAGATTCAAAACTTAACATCCATAAATAAAGTTTTTTTTTTTTGAACACACCCACAGCACACTAAATGGATGAGTGGAGGGATGGACTAATTTACATATTGTATATGGCTGCTATCCTGCTGCTGCAGCAAAATTGATAACAAGTTACAGTAAAACTATTATGGCTGCGAAGCTCAAAATATTTAAAATTTGCCTCTTTGCAGAAAATTTGCTGACCCTCTCCCAATTTTAAATATATTGACTTGTTTGATTATTGTAAAGCTAGGAGTTGGGTTTTTGCTCCCTATTCGACAGATTATGAAACAGAGGCTCAGAGAGATTGGACCAGTTGCCCAAGTCATGCATAAGAAAATTGCTTCGACTCCATGTGACCTTATTTTCAAAGCGTGTCCTCTCTTTACCTCACTCTGATGCTCCTGGAAGGGTTAATATCCTGTCTTCACTGTGGGCACCCCAGATCAGTAGCTGTCATCTCCTCCTGACGGTAAACACTGTGAGCATAGACTGAGACGATGTTGATCACCACCACTGCCTCCATGATGTCTATCTAGCATGGGAGCATGTAGATGCTTAATAAGTAATTGTGCTAACTTGGATGCACACAGCTCGAGGTAACCATTCTGTTCTAGCACTGTTCCTCACAGCTTATCAGCCATAAATTTATAAGATATACTCCTTTTCCTTTTAGAAATGAGTGTAAATCTGTCCCCAGGCATGGTGATTTGGAGACATTAGCACGCCTTCTGTTCACTCAGCCTCACAGGGCCTCTAAAGGCCAGCTGCAAATGGCCAGAATTTCTTCTCCAGGCAAGTATCACCCAGACTTGAGCAAACCAGCAAGAGAATAGGGTAGAGGGAGTGGTACGGGAAACATAGCCTGTGTTTATTTGAGAAAGTGGAGTCAGGTGGATCTAGATTTTTAGCCCAACTCTGACTATGACTGAGTATGTAAACTAGCTCAAGATCCTTCATTTCTCTGTTTTAGTTTCCTTACCTGTAAAGGTGGGTGTGGTGTATTGACAACTGGTGGTCAACTTATAACCCCCAGCTGAACGGAGTAAGTGTGGTGCTGGGTGTGGGAGGCCCACCTGAGGACTGTTGCCAGCAGCATGAAGCAGAACTGAAAAAGAAGTTAGGTTGTTGGGAGCTGAGAAAAGGCTGTTGGGAACTGAGAAAGGCTGCTGGGAGCTGAGGAAGGCTGTTGGGAGCTGGTAGAAGCTGTAAGGAGCTGTTGGTTCTGTTGGAGGAGCTTGTCATGCTGGCTTTCCTGATGAACTTGGCTGTTTTCATCCTCTGAGGAGCTTCGGACCTTGTTCGCAATGAGAATAGCTTCAGATCATTTTGGGGAGCTCTGGTCCTCACTCTGAGCATTGCTTCCTGGCCCTGGAGGGGAAGACAATGCGCTGCCGGTCCCCTGGAGAAGCTTGCTGCATTTGCTTTCCTGATGGGAACTCAGCTGTCTTCACCACTGGAGGAGCTCGGGACCTCACTGTTGCTGAGGATGGCTGTGGTACTTTTCAGGGGAGCTCTGGTTCTTACTTCGTGCATCGCTTCCTGGCTCTAGTGCAGATCCCTCAGCCTGCTAGCACAAATCCTTCATCTTGCTGGCAGACTTCCTAGATTCCATCACTGACCTTTTGGGCCTTCCCAGCGCAGATCCATGAAACTGATCTGCATGAGATATTGTTATGAGCTCTAGGCCTCCAGTTGGACTCATGCAGGACATTTCCATGGGATCCAGGCCCTCGGTTAGATTCCTTGGTCTTTAGTGTGTGGACAGATTTCCTACACTCTCTTGTGTATGATCCTTTGAGTAACTATTATAAATAATCTTATAAAATATCTGTCCTGTATTATATTGTTCCACCTTGCAATATCCTCTAAACCATAACAGTGGGCCCACCTGTCAGGTTGATGGAGAAAAGTGAACAGGATAGTAGAAGGAGAAAGAGCCTTTCCACTTTTTGCCCATTGTACACTCAGTAGGCTCCACTAATGTTCCCTTTTCTACCACAGGGAAAGAATTATAGTAAGCCTAGGGAGTAGTAGTTTCCTCAGATGGGGATGAGGAACCAAAACAACCGGATAACTAAAGCATCAGCTGGGTAGAAGAACTGCATAAGCCCAAAGGAAGGAAAACCAAAATGTAAATTTTACTGAAGATTCCTTGGGGACTGGATATTGGACTGGGCACATCACTGAGAAAATCTTTGAGTCTTTCCAGCATTCCCTTATATAAGACATCCTGTCTTTATTTCTTAGATAAGAAAGCTGAGGGGTGAGGTTATGTGACTGGGCCAGGTTATACGGCTAGTGAGGCAAAATCACGAAGCTCCTTCCAGATCCCTCTCTAGGCTGGGAGGACTGGTCTCAGCTGCTGGGTGTGTTCTTAGACCCCATGGCTGCTGCTTGGCTGCAGATAGCAAGGTCTTGTTCCCTGCCTGCCCATAACCAGCCTGAGAATAAAGGCCTAGAGATCTGGGCCCAACATAGGCCAATGCTAAAGGATCACTTCAGCCTGGAGCTCCCCAGGGGTGAGCAAAGAAGGTCTTTAAACTTTGAGGGAAGCTCACTTTCTTCCTACTTTCACATCTACCCTGACTCTTCTATAGCATTAATCCCAAAGCCACTTGCCAGGAAGCATCCTGCTTGTTCAAGTCAGATTCTGCACTCTTAAGCCCAGCTGGCTATGACAGTTACTACGTCTGAGAGCTAACATTTGCACCACATCTACTAAGTTCTCAATTTTAACACCTTTCTATGGATAACTTCATAACTAGCAAAAGATAGTCATGCATTTCTACAAATATTTTGTGGTTGGTCCTGTAATTGTCTTCTTGCCTTTTTGTGAGTGCTGACACCTGAGCATTTTATCTGCTTCGTTATTTTAATTGGAAGTTGAGGGTGCTATATTTTTTTTTTTTAAATAACAGTCAAATGCCCGCACCCATCTGATCCTCTACTCTTCCGAAAGGTCCTTACCAACCTACGTATCTGCCAGTGCCCACATAGTCAGCCCCACTCCTCCTAACTTCTGTCTTCCTTTTTTCCCCCTCATTTAATTCTGAATCAGCTCTCTCTGTCTTTGAGAGGCTCTGTGTGAAATGCTGATGCCTCTACAGCAGCCCCGCTAATGACAAATTTGAAGACTGAACCAGCAGGGGTCTGAATTAGGGTAATCCAGCCCAAGAGGGTTCCTCCTGAGTGGAGGCCAAGTTCTACCTGAGAGCATCCTCTGATGTGGCAGAGCAGCCTAATGAACCATTTTATTCACAGAAAGCACCATTCACCCTCTTTCCCTACATTTGTCCACCAGGCACCCTGCTGCTGAATTTCTAGATGGCTCCCAGCCTCTGAGTCCAGACCAGCCAAGGTCCTGAGGCTATCCAAAGCTCCCTCCCCACAAAACTGTTTGGAATAAATGAGGACCCTAGACAACACCAGCTGCCTCCCCTCTGGCTAGCTCAGGACCTTTGTTAAGTCAGAGACTGGGGAGTATAAGCTGGTTTGACCTTTTTTCAGGCTATGTGTATTGGGTAACCATGTGTAAATGTGCATACCTCTCACCCAAAAGGTTTTGCTTCCAGATTTACCCGTAACAGTCAGATATGCACAGCTGTATTTATAAAGATGCTCTCCACAACATAGTTATGGTACTGAAAAGCTGAAATAATCTAAATATCTATCAGTGGGGAATTGATTAAATGAATTAGAAGTCTAGATAATGAAATTCTGTGCAGGCATTAAAAACATACAGCTGATCTTTAAAAATTAGAGGAGGAAGATCTCTAGGGGATGCTGTTAAATGGAAAAAGACTAACATATGCTGTGCCGTGCGGTGCCTCTTTTATAAATTCTTTTATATGCAGTATAATATGTAGCGACAGCCAGAGATAGACATTTAGAAGTAAGTTTACTAAAACATGAAGGTGGTCACCAGGAGGTAAAACTTCAAGTGACTTTGAACCTCTTATTTTTTGAACTGTTGTTGGATTTTCTAGGGAAACATGTATTAACTACAGGTGGTAGTGGAGTGGTTAAAAGCTGTGTGATTTGGGCCAGATAACTTTCCTTTCAATCCAGTAGTCAAAAGGCAGCTAATGTTACCTGTTAGTTGAGGCCAGTACATGTTAAATAAAATATATCTAAGATGGTCAAACATAATCTACAATTTGGCTGGCCTCAATGAATGTCACTAGCAATAGCTGTCATAAAGATGCAAAGACAATGTGGGATCCTAAGCAAAGAGTCAAGACATATGACAAAGACATGATAATCCAACTGGACAAATGTCATTCCCTCTACTGTCGAGGTATACACTCATCCAAGCACACATACACATTCATGGACATATAAAGACAAGCCCAAACACACATGCACACTCACATAAACTTATTCATTCTTCTATACACATACATAAATACCATTCACACTCACCTACATAACCTCAAAGTTGTCCTCATATACCTTTAAACATACATAGTTAGTTACACATATGGAAATACACAAACACACTCCCATAAACTTAGCCACACGAGCCACGCACATCCACCCAACATAAACATACCTTCACACTCACACATGCTTAGGCAAATCCAGACATACACATCCGTACAAACTCACATACAAACACACACACACATGTACCTATAGATACACATAGTGGTGCACATGGCCAGGAGATGGAGACGAACAAGCCTGTGGAACTGATCTCAGAAGAAACCACACCTATCCCTGCCCATCAGCTCACTCAACCCCATGTCCGCTCTGCACAGGAACTGGCTGCTCTGTGATAGCTCCCACAGCTCATCTCCCTATGGAGAGAGGGAGAGGTGGTGGGGAGAGGAGAGGGTGATTGTTCCAGTTTAATTAAGCCTGACGCCCAGACAGAGGTGTGGAGGATGCACTGCAAGACACGTTCTGCTGAACTCGGGACCCTGTTCTCCAAGCTACACAGACCTGACAAAACATTTCAAAGCAGAGGAGAACATTAGGAACGGAGGGAGCTGACAGCTCCTAATAGCACAGTAACAAGGAGACACTAATAAAGCTTGTGCCTGTGAGCTGAGCAGCTCTGGAGACAAAAACGAGGCTTGGGATTTCAAAAGCACGTTGGCAGAGCATGGGCCTTGCTTGTGATGCCTTCTGTCCCCTGAGGTACCACAAGACAAGGACAGCAACTCCTGGGGAACTGTGTACAGAACCCTCTTCTGAAA